GTTGAAGGAATTAAAGGAAATCTTGGTATTAAAGGGTGCATAGGCAGGAAATCTGAATGAAGAAAAGTATAAAAAGGACCAAATAAAAATTCTCAAACTGAAATAATAATTCAGTGGATAAGCACAAAGGTCTTGGGAAGGCATCGAGGTTGAATATAAATCCATAGAAATTACCCAATCCAAAAAAAACCCACAGAGAAAAAAGAATGAAAAGTAAATAAATCCTTAGAAACCTGTGGAAGAATATATAAAAGGCAATAGGCAATAGACAATCAATCGGAGTTCAAAAATATGGAGGGAAAAGAGCAGAAAAAAAGATTTGAGGAAATCACATTTGAAAGGCTCCAACTTTAGCATATAGATCCAAGATGCTCAATACACCAAGAGAGACCACCCAGGCACATCTCTATACAACTAATGGAAACCAAAGATAGGAAAAAAATCTGGAAACAAGCAGGAGATAATGATACTTTACATATAGGGTGTGGTGGTTTTAAAATGTTCACAAACTCTAATTTTCCTCCTCTTGAGAGGTCAAACTAATTCCTTTCCTCTTGGGTGTGGACTGGACTCAGTGAGTCACTTCCAATGAAAAGAAAAAAGTGGATGCAATGTTTAGAGATTAGGTCATAAAAGGGTCTGTGGTCTTTTGCATTCTCATTCTCTCCTTCTCTTTGATCATTTGTTTTGGAAGAAGCCAGGTGCCGTGTCATAAAGATGCTCACGTGTGGCAATGGCCATGTAGTCAAAGGCCAGGGCTTCCGGCTAAGTGGCCAGCAAGGAACCAAAGCCTCCAGCCAACAGCCCCATGTGTGAGCTTGAACACACATCCTTAGCCCCAGTCAAGCCTTCTCATCATTGCAGTTCCAGCCAAACTATTGATAGTAACCTAATGAGAAACCTCTAGCCAGAAATACCCAGCTAGACTGCTCTTAGAATTTGGACCCTCAGAAATGGATTGAGATAATAAATGTTCACTGTTTCAAGCTGTCTCCTTTTTTTATAATTTGTTACACAGCAGTAGATAACTATTACAGGATTTGGTGTCTGGAAATGGGGTGCTGTTGTAACAAAAAATTTAAAATGAGGTGGTAGATTTGGAATCAGGCAGTTGGTAGAAGCTGGACTTTGAAGTGAGTTTTTAGGAGAAATAAATTTACATAAATACCCCAAATTTTCAGTAAAAGGTGCAAAGACAGTAAGGAGTCCTAGAGAGCCCTAAAATTCTTCTGTGACTGGAGACTCAGGGCAGGATTGGGAAACACAAATATAGTTATGGGATGGGTTTAGAGAAGCTTTGAAGAGAAAGCAAGCTGAGACATTTGTGCAACTGCTAACACAGGCCATCCTTCATGGAACAAGATGGGTCACTAAAAGTGCAAAACTAAGATCCCAAGTATGTAGACAAGAGCCTCTGGTCCAGGGCTGGGGGATGTCTAGGCTCTCATTGTCCAGTCTTCTCCCTGGCCTCTCGCATAATATTTTCTTCCCACAGAAGAAAAGGAAGGGGGCTATGCTCAGCTGCAAGTGAGTTTGGGTCAGGAGGTTGATCCCTAAGACCCTTAGGCCCATGGGTGGGGCGGGGGGAGGGGGGTGTAGCTTGCTCACTCCATGATTCCTCTAGTTACAGGTCTGGGCTTGGACCACATCCCATTGTTGTTCTGCTCCAGGAAGTGAGATTGCCTAAGGCTCTGATGTGTCTCTCAGGGTTCCTAAGGGTGAGACCCTGGAGGGCCTGGAGTAGGGGAGGGGTTGGGGCAGAGGGGACACAATGGGGTCATGGAGGTTCTTTGAGTGGGACATTTTAGGCACTTAATGGACCGCTGAGAATGTCAACACTTGATTACTGGGACACCTGGGTGGCTCAGTCGGTTAAGCGGCTGCCTTCGTCTCAGGTCATGATCCCGGGGTTCCAGGATCAAGCCCCACATCAGCCTCCCTGCTTGGCGGGGAGTCTGCTTCTCCCTCTGCCTGCCGCTCCCCCTGCTTGTGCGCATGCGCGCGCTCTCTCTCCCTCTGCCACTCCCCCTGCTTGTGCTCTCTCTCACTAGCTCTATCTGCGAGAGAGAGAATGAGAGACAGAGAGCATGAGAGGGAGGAGGATCAGAGGGAGAAGCAGACTCCCTGCTGAGCAGGGAGCCTGATGCGGGACTCGATCCCGGGACTCCAGGATCATGACCCAAGCCGAAGGCAGTCGCTCAACCAACTGAGCCACCCAGGCACCCCTTGAAGTTTTTATTTGCCTATGCATAGTTGTTGCTGTAAAGCAAGGATTCTCGTTCAGCGACACAAGACAGGCTCTAATGACCTATAGCCTGATAACCTTATGGAATCCTACACACACACATTTAGGAATTAAAAAGGGGTCATGTGATCATGTGTAAAGCAGGCCTCATAGGAACATAAGAGAAGACACTGACATTCTTGTCCTTTCGAGAAGAGAAGCCTCAGAATTCAACTGCCAAAGCCTGCCTTCCAACTCTGAGTCTGTGCAATTAAAAAAATGGCTCAAATAATATTTTCAAATGCTGCTCTTAGATTATAAAGACACTGTCCAGCTCTCACCATGAGCACAACCCCTAGCCCCTTGGAAATCCAGATAATCAAAAGTGAACCATACTTCTGAAAATTCTGAAATAGTTCAATCAGGGAAAATGGAATGCCCTCAGAAACTGAGGGGAGAACAGGGAGAGAGAAAGATATTACACTTATCTTTCATGCATGAAAACAGACAAGGCCTCTGGGCTTGTTTGCTGAAGACACAGGGAGGCTATCTGTGCTTCCAAAAATTCCATCCCCTACAGAATTTTTTATTCACCTCTTCAAAGTCTACCAGACAAATTCAGAGGTGGCCTCGATATAGCTGTTCAGTGCTCAAGATGGCGTAAGCTCCCTCCAGGATAGAATCTAGGAGGGCATAAAGGAGGTACTTCTGACTTCTTCTTGCAGGGAATCATCCAGTGTTTGTCTTACAGGAAAGACTTCTATTAAATGGGCACTATTTTGCTTCCTTTCATGAAGGAGGTGGAAACATGAGCCCCCAAGGTGGTGAGAAAGAAAAAGAGCATCGTGTGTGTTAATATTTCCTCAGTTTCTATGTATGGTAGACATCTGTTAGGAGCAAGGAATTCTTGTGCTATTTCAATTAAAGAAAAGCTTTCTTTTGCTCTCCTGTATCCTGGGAAAAGGCAACATATTTTAGCTATTCATATTCATGGACAAAGAGCAGTCAGCCCAGAATGTCAGAGCTGCCAAGACCCTTGGAAATCACCTACACCAGTGTTTGCACACTGTAATCATGACCCATTAGTGCTGAAGTTAGGGAAATATATGAGATGACCCAACACATTTTATACAATGACTAGAATGCAACAGAATGGACCTGAGTGCCTTGCACATAGTAAGTGCAAGCACTGTTTCATAAAACTTTGTTTCAATTTTGTGTGTTAGTGTGTGTATGGTAGATAACAATGTATCTATTCCTTATTTTTTGCATGGTTGCAAAAAGTTTGAAGAAAATTGATCTGCATCAGGGAGTCTTTCTCAACTCTTAGGAGGGTGTCACAAAGCCTTTCAAGAATCTAATGAAAACAACAGACCTAACTTCCTGAAAATGCACATGCCCATAATTCTGGGTGCAATTTCAGGGGTGACCTTGGAAACTGGGTTAAAAATTCCAAAAATAGACTATATCTTTTTTTTTTATAGCTGAAGTCCAGAGATGTTATTATTTCCCATATGGGAAAAGTGTTGGAAAAGAAAGAGAGCATCTCTTTCAACCCCTACCCCAAGTGTAAGGAGAAAATCTTTTCAACAAGTGTCATGTTTGGGGGAAATATTCTTACTTCTACAAATAAAGGAGAGAATTAAGTCTAAAACAACTGGTGTCTAAATAATGCCTTGAACACAACAGATATTCAATAAACGTCTTTTAAGTCAATATATAAACTTGTTTATTTTAGATCTAGAAATTAAAATTCCTTAAGCAAGATTTGGTAACGTTAAAAAAGTAACACAAAGGCTACGTACCTCTTTTGCAATCTCTCACGTGGGCCAATTTCTCTCTGGTACAGACACTCAGGTCTGCGAAGTCCCGTCTGATTTTCCCACCTCTTTCAATGAAAGTACATCCAGCATCACCAGAAGGTATAACATCTTCACCTAAAATGTGAAGAGAATGCCATAACATCTCATGTTTCATTCTAGTGATACTGTTTACAACTACTCTATTAAAACTACATCTCTAACCAAAGCTCAGATTTTTGTGTCTTTAATTAAAACTGGCCCATACTGCTGAAAACAATCATGACTATACAGAAGTCTTCAACCTAAAAATTGAAAATTGTAAAGGAAGCATGGTACATTTTGTTAGAAATAACGAACCATGAGTTAATTCTACCTCATAATATTTATGTATAGTCTGATTCTCCTCTTGGTTAAGGAGAAAAAGCCCTATCCCCTATGCCCTGCTCCACATTCATGTATGGAGGGTAGCTCTCCCCCCTTCAGCTCTTGCATAACACCCTGAAGACTCGCAGACAAAGATTGTCCACACCAACTTCTTTACAGACTGGGGCTGAATCTCTTACCTCTCTCAACCACGAGAAGAGAACTGCCCAGAACACTGATACTAGTTTTTGTGCTAGATAATTCCTGTGAAAATGAAAGCCAGCATTTCACCTTGGGGCATATTACTTACTGTTAGGTTCTGGCAAATATGGAAGTAAAATCTGTTTCTGTTTAAACAAGTACAGAGATGTTGGTTTTCTGGATACAACTTTGGCACTTTGAAGATAATGTGAAAATAGGAAAAGTACAGAATATTACTATAAAGCAAGCGTAGTAGTAATATTACTATGAAGTAATAGTATGACCAATCTCTAACACTCTGACTCAACCTCTGTCCTTTGATACAACCACTGCAACTCCCTCAAAATACACCATCACTTGCTCCAAACTGCTGCTCAGACCCTTTCAGTGGAGTCTGAGTCTCCCAGGAAAATCACAAGATTTAAAAATGTTTAAAAATTATTCTTACTAGACTATCTATATCACTCACTGCTTTTGGTTTCAAAAGATGTTGGGTGGTTTCTAAAAAAGCAATCTGCCATAAGATGGTAATTGCCAGGTGGCACCTGGGTGGTTCAGTCGGTTAAGCGTCTGCCTTCGGCTCAGGTCGTGATCCCAGGGTCCTGAGATCAAGCATGTTGGGCTCCCTGCTCAGGAGGAAGTCTGCCTCTCTCTCTCCCTCTGCCACTCCCCCTGC